TATCAATATTTGTAAATATGTATTTATTTTTGGATTATTTATTACACATCTCTCCACTAGATTATAAGCTTTAAGAGCAGAGACAAGTCTATTTTCTTTCTGCCTCTCCCTCTGCCCCGTCCCCGATTGCACATGCTCTCTCTAAAATGAATAAATAAGGGGTGCCTGGGTGGCTCAGTCGTTGGGTGTCTGCCTTCGGCTCAGGTCATGATTCCAGGTCCTGGGATTGAGCCCCGCATTGGGCTCCCTGCTATGCAGGAAGCCTGCTTCTCCCTCTCCCACTCTCACTGCTTGTATTCCCTCTCTCGCTGTGTCTCTCTCTGTCAAATAAATAAATAAAATCTTTTAAAATAAAATGAATAAATAGAATCTTTTTAAAAAATGAAAATTAATAATTATTAAACAAGAGAAAACAAGAAATAAAGATAAAACCAAATTAATAAAAGAAAAAGAATAGCACTTGATAAATTGAAGGGCTCATTTTTCAGAAATAGACATTAAAAATAGACACATTTCTGGCAAAGAAAAAAAGGACATCCTCTTAGATGTCTGATAAGTAATTCAAACTTATGAAATCTCTGATTTTCCCTTAAAATACTTGTTTGTTCACCAGCCATATCTCAATAAATTATGCCATCATCTAAGTCAAAACCCACCTCCCTCACTCCCCACATTTAATCCAATATCAGAATATATGCCTTCTATCTCTGTAGTGGACAACTATGGTATTCATTACCTCAACATTCTCATCTTTTCTCTTGAAAACTGCCCCCCCATTCTCACTCAGAAGTACCTTTTCTTTTTCTTTCCTTTTTTTCTTCTCACTTTTGTTTGCTATTTTTCCCTCAGGTACAGAGATTTGAGGCAATCATACGATTTGGTTCACCCTTTCATCAACAAGTCCTTTCTCATTTTATCTTTTTTTCCTTCATTCCAGTTATTCATGTTCCATCCCTCCCTTCTTAGGTAGCCACTCTAATTGTGTTTAATATATGTCTTTGGTTATACATGTATCTTTGAATAATATATCATTTTATGTATGTGTTTTAAATGTACATAATTGATACTGTGTTACAGAAATCATTGTTTCCTTTTCACATTTCTGTAAATACTTCTGACTGTTGCATAGTATTGTCAAATGACCTCACACCGTTGGCCACTGGTCCTAAGCCAAGATGTGCCAATCAGAATCCTTATCCAGAATTTTTGAACTAAAACTAAGAAAAAAATCCCTTTCCAGTGTGGAAGCCATAAAACGTAAAATAGGAGCTGTCAGCAGCCAAATGTCCTGCCATGTGGAACCAGCTGGTCTGCAATGAAAAAGAATGAAGCCAACATGCAGAAAACAGCAGAGGTGAGAAACAATGAGAAAGTCCTGGAAAAATCTCAAGTCTCTGGTTCCAGTTTTTCCTGAAGTTTCATATTCCTGCCCTTCCCATGGTTCAACTCTTCCTGGATTCCATGAACCAGTAAATCCTGTTACCTCCATCTTGTGCCTAAGCCAGTTCATATTGGGATTCTATGACTTGCAACCAAGAGGCCTAATTATAATCTCCAAAATGTATCTCGTGTGTGTGTGTGTGTGTGTGTGTGTGTGGTTTTTTCCTTAATTGTGGTAAAGTCCACATAACATGAAATATACCATTGTAACCATTTTTAAGTGTACAGTTCAGTAGTGTTAAGTGCATTGACATTGTTGTACAACCAATCTCCAGAACTCTTTTTATCTTGGAAAACTGAAACTATACAACTACCCACCCCACCACCCCCAGCTTCTGGCAACCACCATTTTAGTTTCTGTTTATGAATCTGACTACTCTAGGTACCTCACATAAGTGTAATCATTACAGTATTTATTTTTTTGTGACTAGCTTACTTCACTTAGCATAATATCCCCAAGATTCATTCATCCATGTAGCCTATCAGAATTTCCTTCCTTTTTAAGGCTGAATGATACTCCATTGTATGTAACATACCACATTTTGTTTACTCATTGGGTTGCTCCCACCTTTTGGCTATTATGAATAATGCTGCTATTAACATAGGTGTACAAATATATCTTTGAAACACTTTTTGAATTCTTTTGGGTATATACCCAGAAGTGGAATTGCTGGATCATATGGTAATTCTATGTTTAATTCTTTGAGGAACTACCATACTGTTCACAGCGGCTGCACCATTTTGTATTTCCACCAAGAGTACACAAAAAGTCCAATGTCTCCACATCCTCGCCAACACTTGTTTGCTTAATAGTAGTCATCCTAGTAGGTGTAAGGTGGTATCTCACTGTGGTTTTCATTTGAATTTCCCTAATGATTAGTGATGTTGAGCATCTTTTCATGTGCTTGTGTCCATTTGTATATCTTCTTTAGAGAAATGTCCATTCAAGTCCTTTGCCCGTTTTTAAATCAGATTTGTTTTTCCAAAATGTATCTTGATTATTTTTTCTACCCTCACTTTCACCATCCAAGCACCTGTGGATTTTCATGTAGACAATACTTCTTAAATGGACTCCCTGATTCCAATGTTATTTCTTTCCTTTTCATTCAGCATAATGTAGCCAGAGTGATTTTCTGAAAATACAAATTCTAACATGTCACTTAACCTGCTCAAAATTGTCCAATGGCATTCCATTGCTCTTCAGAAAAAAAAAAAAAAATCCATGAGTCCTGGTCCCTTATGATGTAGACCCTGCCAATTTCACTCTCCTTCTCTCTTGTCATACCCCCCTTTGATCACTATTTTCAGATACATTGTCCTTCTTTTAGTTTCTGGAATATGCCATGTTCCTTTCCTCCGTAAAGCCTTCACACATACTCCCTCCACCTGAAACACTTTCCATCTACTCTCCCCATTCACCTTATGGGTCATAACTTAAATTTCACTTCTCCATAGAGAACCTTCCTTAACCTCCTTCCTTGATCTAAATATCCTCCCATTATAGTATCTTGACACACTTCCCTGATATCACCTATCAATATTTGTAAATATGTATTTATTTTTGGATTATTTATTACACATCTCTCCACTAGATTATAAGCTTTAAGAGCAGAGACAAGTCTATTTTTCTAACACTATATCCCAGGATCAAATAATATCTGACATAAAGAGGTGCTCTTTATGTCAGAGGTGCTCTTTATGAATACCAATGAATACCAACGATAGGAAGAATGCTTAGAAATATTAATGTGTTCAACTTTATACTAATACATTTGAAATTTTAAATTAGATGATTTCCCCAAAAAGTTAAATACAAATTACCAAAATTAATTCAGGCGGAAGTGGCAAATCTAGATAAACCAATTAGCTGTGAAGTCACTGAAAAAGTTACCAGAGGTAAAATTACAAGGTAAAGACAAATCTTTATTTGCAGATAGTGTGATTGTTTGGAGAGTGAACTATAAAACTATTAGATCTAACAAAGTAATCTACTTAAATATCCTATTACATGCTAAATATACAAAAATTATTAATTTTCATATATATCATCAGTAAGCAATTTAAATACCTAATTAAAAATACCTTATCTCGGGACACCTGAGTGGCTCAGTCAGTTGAACGGCTGCCTTTGGCTCAGGTCCTGATCCCAGTGTCCCGGGATCGAGTCCTGCATTGGACTCCTTGCTCAGTGGGGAGCCTGCTTCTTCCTCTGCCCCTCCCCCTGCTTGTGCATTCTTTCTCTCTCTCTGACAAAATCTTTAAAAAAGCAACAAAAATATTTTGTACTTAGGCATAAATTTAATCAGATCTACACAGGACTTACATAATGAAAACCTTATTGAGAAACCTAAAACAAAAAGACTTTACTAAATTGAAAGACACCCATGGAAAGACACCCATGTTCATGGATGGGAAGGCTCAGTATTTTTAAATGTCAATTATGCTGCCAGTTCATTTGTATATCCTAAACTGGCAACCTTGTTAAAGGATTCTGAAAGTTCATTTGAAAGGATTGATGTATGAGAAAAGCCAATACATTTTAGAGTATTCATGACAGAATGTATTAATACAGTGAACAGATGGAGAAGGAATTGGCAGTCTGATTAGTGGAACAAAATACAGAGTCCAGAAAGGTCCCAAGTGTTAATAGAAATTTAATTTTTTTTTTAAATCAGCTCAGTGTTGTTGTGTTTTTTTTTTTAAAGATTTTATTTATTTATTTGAGAGAGAGAGAGAGCATGAGAGGGGGGAGGGTCAGAAGGAGAAGCAGACCCCCCGCTGAGCAGGGAGCCCGATGCGGGACTCGATCCCGGGACTCCAGGATCATGACCTGAGCTGAAGGCAGTCGCCCAACCAACTGAGCCACCCAGGCACCCCGTTGTTGTGTTTTTTAAAGATTTTATTTATTTGACAGAGACAGCCAGAGAGGGAACACAAGCAGGGGGAGCGGAAATTTAGTTTTTGATAAACAGCACTTCAGGAAAAAATAGATGATTTGGTCGGAAGTGTTATGTTAAAGATTCACAAAAGAATGTGGCCAATATACAGGAAAAAAATGTTTAATCACTAGTAAAGAAATATATATTCAAACTACTAGACATTTCATTAAATTGACAGATCAGAAATGATACAGCAGGGTGAAGGGAAAAAGGGCATTCCTTAGAAACTGCTGTTGGGAGTGTAAATTGATAAAATCTACAACTCCTCTGGAAGTCAGTTTGGCAGTGGGTATCAAATATCTTAGAAGTGTGCATACTTTTTGATGCAAAATGCCCTTTGGCAGAAGCTACCCACAAAGATCATGCAACATAACTGTTCATTACATTATTATAGACAAAAAATTGTAGAAAAAAAGAATCTAAATGTTCAACAAGTTATGTAAAAAATTTTTTAAAACTATGGTATTTTTGTTAAAAGAAGTAGCCATTTAAAATGTTGTGTATCTATTGATAAGCAAAGATTCATATTCATAATATTGTCTGAGAAAAAGCAAGTTACCAAATGTGTCAAAAAAGTTTTGTCTGTAGATGTATGGGGGCCTGGAAAGATAAGTCCTAGAACTTAGCAATTGTTTTGGGGGAGGAAACAGATCAAATTGTTTTTCTAATTGAACACGCACTGCTTTTGTTTGTTCATAAAGAAGAATAAAGGGAAACTTCATGTTTAAATGCTACATTAAAAATAGTGAAAAACAGAAGCATAAGTTACTGAAAATTAATAATTATAGAAACTTCAAAGAAATTGAGCCAATTGGAATAGGAATAAACAAAATGTTATCTATGATTTTAACTGTCATATAATGTATGTATATTGAAGAAACAGGAGACAGAAAATGAACATAATTAATTAGGATGATAGGATTGTAAGCAATTTTTCCCCTTGTTAAATAATTTTTTTAAATAAAAATTTATAACAGATTTTGAACCCAGTTCATTCAGGCTTCACAACAATGATGAAAAGTTAGAGACCAGTGACAGTGCCAAGAGATGGATGGTATGGGTGAGGGGTAAGCTTTAAGCCTTCCATAATCACCAATTATTTCCTATAAAGCTTAACCAGAAAAAAAAACAACCTTATATTTACTAAGAAACACAGCTTCAAGACAAGTTCCTTTCTATACAGAGATTCTGGAGCCCCAGTACTAGAGACCATTCCATTAACACCACAGACCCCAGGTGTATTTTCCTGTGTTGTACATTTTCTTCCCCCACCCTTTTTTTTTTTTTGGAAAAAAAATTTTTTTTTAAAGATTTTATTTATTTATTTGAGAGAGAGAGACACAGCAAGAGAGGGAACACAAGCAGGGGGAGTGGGAGAGGGAGAAGCAGGCTTCCCGCTGAGCAGGGAGCCCGATGCGGGGCTCGATCCCAGGACCCTGGGATCATGACCTGAGCCGAAGGCAGACGCTTAACGACTGAGCCACCCAGGCGCCCCTTTTTTGGAAATTTTTTAAGAGCAATTTAAGTTTCACAGCAAGATTGATGGGTAGTTGAGAGACTTCCCATATATCCCATACCCCCACAAAAGCAGAACCTCCCCCATTATCAACATCCCCCACCAGAATGGGATTGTTACAATTGAACCTGCATTATGCATCATTACCAAAGTCCATGGTTTACATTATTGTTCACTTTTGACATTCTATGGGTCTGTTAGCCATTTTCAAAATCTTTTCATTAAACATATTGTCTCAGGCTTTGCTCTGACCCCTTTTTTATTCCTGGGTTTCAGAACCATGTGTGCTCAGTACTGCATCTCCTTTGCTGATGTTGAAAAAGCTCATGTCAACATTCAAGATTTTATTCACCTCACACCAGTGCTAACAAGTTTCATTTTGAATCAAGTAACAGGGCGCAATCTTTTCTTCAAATGTGAACTCTTCCAAAAAACTGGATCTTTTAAGGTAATAATGCCTTTTGATAATGTATCATGTATCTTTTCAAACCTCTTTCCCATACACATTTATTTGATCTTCCTGACCACCCAGTGAGGTAGGTAGAACTATTTTTATAGCTGAAGAAAGGGTTGTAGAAATTTTCCTTTGGTCAAGTGCTGGTTACTTAACATTACGATGTTGATAAGCCACTTATAATTTCAAAATTTCTTATAATTGGGGTGATGATATAATTTACTCTCCAAACTAGAACATATTTGAGAATGAAAGGGGCAACTTGTGGTTAAACCCAGGCAATAGACATTAGCCTCTATTATTGCAAGGCAACATGGGCAAGTGTGATCACCCTGTATACAACCAAGTTTAGGCATTCACTTTGTGTCAACTTGCTTTTCATTGATACCTTATTATGAATATAAAAGATCTAAATCTAGCTAAGCCCTCATACAATAAGATCTTTTTCTATGAAATATGTCAGAAAAACATGCAACTCTTGATTTTGGGGTTGTGAGTTCAAGCCCCACATTGGGTATAGAGATTCTACATAAAATTTTAAAAACTTAAAAAGATGAAAGACTTCTGTATTGATTCACTGCAGTAATTTCTGTTAGTTGAGTTTTAGGATCCTTTCAGGTAAAAATCTGAAAGTTGAATTTAGTACTATGCCTGATAGGTATTAGTACCTGTTAAGTCGTAGTTTTAGGACTGCGTTTCCCCACCCATTAATGAGCACTTTATGAGTGTTTATGTTAAACACTATATTCTCTTTTGCCCTTTGTTTCTGCCATGGTTTATTTTTCATTCATCACACATCAAATACTTATTAACTATACTAGGCATACACACATGTATATACATACACAGTAGGTCTTGTACTATTATTCACACTTACGGGGTAAGACAAGCTAGTCAACAACCAGGTTAATGACAAGTAACTTGAAAGATAAAATACCATAGAATGAAATGCCTAATTTTGCATGGGAGATGAAGGAAGTTGAACCCAGTGATGTTTGATCCAAATTTTATAGGTGGAGTACTTTTAGCCAGATCAGGGTGAAGGAAAAGAACTATATGTAGGTTACAGGGGTGTGAGCTAACCTGTAGGAGGGGAACTAAGCAATTTAGGATGGCTACAACAGTGACAGAAGCAGTAAATATGTTTTAAAAGACTGCAACTTGTAAGCAATTTGTACTTACAAAATAGGCAGTCAATAAAAAGAACATTTTTAAAAGGTCACTTTCAAATTCTAGTGGAAATATTAGAGAATGATCCTTGGGGCAAGATCAGTTGAGGTTTGGTAACATGCAAGTTGAGAAATGAGGCTTCACCAAGGTAGTGGCAAAGACACGAGATATTTCAGAGGTACAATCAATAAGATGTCATGATAGAATGGATGTGCGGTGTTAGGAAGAGAAAATCTAGGAAAGCTCCTCGGTGTTTTTAAAAGAAACTTTTGGTTTCACCATCCCTTTTCCAGATTCGTGGTGCCCTTAATGCAATCAAAGGCTTGACTCCTGCCACCTCAGAAGAGAAGCCCAAAGCTGTGGTTACTCACAGCAGTGGAAACCATGGCCAGGCTCTCGCTTATGCTGCCAAATTGGAAGGTACTTGACTAACTTCTCAGGGTACTGGGTAGGATCATCAGAGAAGAGTGGAAAAGTATTCTTACTCAGTGAGATTGGTGATTACTGTGAGAAAGTTATTTCCAAGTTTTTATCTCATTATAAGCAAATTGAACAGAAGTTTCTCTCCTAAATTCTCCTGATTTGTACTAACTAAATGTGTTTCTCCCCTCTAGGGATTCCTGCTTATATTGTGGTGCCCCAAACAGCTCCCAATTGTAAAAAATTGGCAATACAAGCCTATGGAGCCTCCATAGTGTACAGTGAACAGAGTGATGAGGTAAGGAAGAGAGCAGTGTTCAGCATCACCTTAACATTTTCACCATCAAATGAAACTTCTCTTCCTAGCCTACCGGCTGTTTCTTCTATCCTCCTATGTTTCCTCTTCACCTTTCAATGTTAGCATACCCAACCTTTTGTCTACCTATACTCACTCAGATGAGATCATTAATCTCAGTTTAAAATATCACCTATACTCTGGGGTGCCTGGGTGGCTCAGTCAGTTGGGTTACCAACTCTTGGTTTCGGCTCAGGTCATGGTCTCAGTGTGGTGGGATTGAGCCGTGTGGGGCCCCACACTTGGCAGGGAGTCTGCCTCTCTCTCCCTCTGCCCCTCCCCCTGCTCTCGCCCTCTCTCAAATAAATAAAATCTTTAAAAAATATATGAAAAAAAATATCACCTGTTTCTTTTTTTAAAGATTTTATTTATTTATTTGACAGAGACACAGCGAGAGAAGGAACACAAGCAGGGGGAGTGGGAGAGGGAGAAGCAGGCTTCCTGCAGAGCAGAGAGCCCGATGCGGGGCTCGATCCCAGGACCCTGGGATCATGACCTGAGCCAAAGGCAGACACTTAACGACTGAGCCACCCAGGTGCCCCTATCACCTGTACTCTTAACTCCAGTCCTGACCTTTGCCCTTAACCCAGACTTATATTGTCCAATGATTACCTGATATTCCCTCTTGGACTGTCTTAATAGGCTTCTCAAACTTACCATGTCTAAAACCAAACTCCTGATCTTCCTCCCCAGTGCTGCTCCTCTTCCAGTCTTCCGCATCTCAGTAAATGGCAACTTTTATCCTTCTAGTTGCTCAAAATAAATGAAGTCACCTTTGAGAATTCTCCCACATCCTGCATCCAAATCTTAGTCCTACTTTCAAATCATTTCCATTATCCAGGGCACGTGGCTGGCTCAGTTGGAAGAGTATGCGACTCTCGATCTCAGGGTCGTGAGTTCAAGCCCCATGTTGGATGTAGGTAACTTAAAAATAAATAAACTTAAAATATCGTTTCTATCATCCAACTACTTCTAACAGCCTTTATCATCAATGCCCTAATTCAAATGAACATCAGTTTTCACCTAGATACAGTAGCCTAAGTGGTCTCTCTTCTTCCACCCTTGCCCAACTAGTCTGTTTTCTAAAAAACAACCACAACTATCCATTTAATAAGTTAAAACTTGTCTCATCAGTTGAAAATCCTCTAATGGTTTCCCATCTTATACACAGTGGTAACCAAAATTCTTGCAATCATTTAAGGCCTGGATGAATTGGCCCATTTCAATCTTTCTGACATCATCTCCCATTATTACTGTCCCATCAAACATTCCACACCAACCACACTAACTTAGCCTTTTCTCAGAAAAGCCCAGCACTCCTACTTTGTGGTCTTTGCACTTGCTATTATTCTCCCCCTGGAATATTCTGGAGATCCACAGCACTTGTTCCAACCTATTAAAATGTCACATTACCAGAGACCCTTCCTGAACACCCTCTATAAAAGACTTATTCTTGGGTGCCTGGGTGGCTCAGTTGGTTAAGCGACTGCCTTTGGCTCAGGTCATGATCCTGGAGTCCCTGGATCGAGTCCCGCATCGGGCTCCCTGCTCGGCAGGGAGTCTGCTTTGCCCTCTGACCCTATCCCCTCTCATGTGTTCTCTCTCATTCTCTCTCTCTCAAATAAATAAATAAAATCTTTTTAAAAAATAAATAAATAAATAAAAGACTTATTCTCCATAGCATAGACATGCCATATATTCACTTATATGCCACCCCTCCCCATCGTATTAGAACATAACTCCACTGAGTACAGGGACTAGTTTGTTCACTGTTACATCCCCAGTACCCAAAAAAAGTCTGAAAAAAGAAAGATGGCTAATAGTGTTAAATGACTAAATCTAACTTGTTGGGAACTCTTAAATACAAAACGAACATGTTAGTTTAATGTACTCTTTCAGTCCAGAGAAAATGTTACAAGAAGAATTATGGAAGAAACAGAAGGCATCATGGTACATCCCAACCAGGAGCCTGCAGTGATAGCTGGGCAAGGGACAATTGCCATGGAAGTACTAAACCAGGTAAGAACGGTTAATTCTTGTTTAGCCACCGGTAAAGCTGCTGTTTGGCTGTACAATTATTTTATGTACCTATAAAACTGGTTATTAATAGACCTATTTATACTTTATATTGTTTTCACTAAAGGTACCCTTGGTAGATGCGCTGGTGGTACCTGTAGGAGGAGGAGGAATGGTTGCTGGAATAGCAATTACAGTTAAGGTAAAAAAAAAATAGCTTCTGGAGAACTCCCCACTTCAGACATAGAGAATTTTATTTTACATCATAGTACATTGCAGATACTTGGCTCAACATTCCCAATTGCTGTTCCTTCCCATCAACCCTTGGCACTTGAAATGGAAGGCTCTTCTCTGCTTCACTACCCTGTTCTTAATCTGTAACAACTTTACAGGGCAAAAGCAGTTACAATGAGTGGCATCTCAGAGTCCTTTCTCTGAATTCCACCTCAACAACCCACTATCCAAGTCAGGGGCTACTCTTTTCCCTAGTTACCAGTAGAACCAGATGTGATCTAAGCAACTAAAGGCTAGTATTAGGCATATACTTTATTTTTTTTATTTTTTTTTTTTTAGGCATATACTTTAAAATGCTTGAAGGTCTATTTTTATTACATCAAGGGAAAGGCTCTTGAACAGAAAATGAGTTACTATATTGCCTATTTTACTACAGGTATGCAGGCAAAATGCTGTGGCTGGTTTTAAAATGTCTAATATTCCTCTTCTCAGGCTCTGAGACCTACTGTGAAGGTATATGCTGCTGAACCCCTGAATGCAGATGACTGCTACCAGTCTAAGCTGAAAGGGGAACTGACTCCTAATCCCTGTCCTCCAGAAACCATAGCAGATGGTGTCAAATCCAGCATTGGCTTAAACACCTGGCCTATTATAAGGGACCTTGTTGATGATGTCTTCACAGTCACAGAGGATGAAATTAAGGTGAGGCTCTGATAGGAAAGGAAAATACGAAAGAATGGAGCAACTTCTTAGGCAAAAGAGTCTTGAGTAGCAATTTACTCCCTGGGGACTTGACTACGTGACTTCATGACGTGGGATGGTGCCCCAGATGTATTAAGACAACCCCCTCAACAGTAGAAGCAGAGTTAGGATGGGAAAAAAGCCCTGCCTTTCATTGGCGAGCATATACATATGGCCAAGAAGAAAAGGTCGGACTGGGTATATAACCCCATCTGGCCTTTAATTGTAAATAGGCTCTTTCCCCTTTTCCGATTTCACTAATTCTTACTCCCTTCCATACCAACAGTATGCAACCCAGCTGGTGTGGGAGAGGATGAAACTGCTTATTGAACCTACAGCTGGTGTTGGAGTCGCTGCTGTGCTGTCTCAGCATTTTCAAACAGTTTCCCCAGAAGTAAAGAACATTTGTATTGTGCTCAGTGGTGGAAATGTAGACCTAACCTCTCTAACTTGGGTGAAGCAGGCTGAAAGGCCAGCTCCTTATCAATCTGTTTCTGTTTAGTTTATGCAAAAGAGATGGCATTCAGTATCTCTAAACACTTGGAAATTTTGTTTCCTGGTTACTTTAACTTCCTATATTCCTCTCTTAAACAGCTTTCAAATTCCTAATGGAGAGTGGACGTTTCAGTAATAGTTTTTTTTTTTTTTAACTAAGTAGCAAGAGAAAAACATCCATAGTTTACTGAGACACCTTGTCAAGGCCAAGAAAAGCCTTTGCAAAAAGGCAGTAGACCTCTAGGCTAAAGTAGAAAACACAAACTTTGCCTAATTACAACCTGTAGGCTCCCATCCCTAGAGTGTTTCCTAGTAACAATGAGACAGGATCCCAATGAATCCATTACTCCATGTCCACTTCAGGCACTGCTAAAGAAATCTCACTTTTCATCCATGGTACTGGTTCTGGTACACATGGATCATAAGTCCATTTGGGGAAAACTCGTTTATAGAGGTTCATCAGTACTGTGTCCTGAGATTTTAGCTTCCCATCAAAACTGCACTTCATGTGGCCATGAGTACCTAGAAAGAAAACAGCAAGTTGGTCAAATTAAAATAGAAAATTTTAAAGTAGTAGTCTTCTAACCCAAGAGTCATTTAGTAGCCCTGGGAAAACCTGGGCAAGGCACCAAATCCCATGTTTTCTTACCCAAAGGCTCCTTGATGTGTCCCCTGCGGCCCCACTTTGTTCTCAGTTCCACTGGTTTAAACCACAACACATCCTCTTAGAATGAAACACATAGAAGACCAAGATGAAACATACACCCACAAAACGTAAACCCAACCCTCACCCCACAAAGGCAATCTGATCCCATCCTTCACACCTACCTCTGTTGAAGAACATGTAACGCACTACTGCCATCTTAGTAAAAATTTTGAAAGGATGACCACTCAAAACAACTCTTTTGATGACCATTCTGTCCGGATCCACTGACAGGAGAGAGCCTGTGGCAATGAGGCTGTGCATTCCTAAGGAGCAAAAGCAGAGTAGCAGGCGTGTAAGCCAAGGCCTTCATTTGTTGCTCCAGTCCATTTAAAGACCTAAACAAACTCTTAGAGAAACCTTAAAGTAGGGATATGTTATGCTGCCCTCCTGGATCAATGGCAAAGATCATTAAAGGAAATTCCCACTAAGCCTGGCCCCAGAACCTATCCTAAATATAACAGTCTGAGCAGCATCTACCAATTAGCTATGCTTTGCAAGCAAGATAAAACCCCGTTTGTCATCCTTGCCTCAGACCATCATGAGGCTGAGACTGGGATGTTTCAAAAACTATCATTACCTTCTTCATACCAAATGGCTCTTATATCTAAACACAGAATATAGTTTTAAACTTATAAAGGACCTGCAGGCCTGTTCACCTCAGTGAACTTACCATTGCTATTCTGTTTGAAAAGCAGCACAGATGCAGGCGGAAACGTGATTGGGCCATATACTGTCACCACCAGGGCCACATCAGCAGTCAGGAATCTCTGAAACTTATGTTTATCCGCTACCATAACAGGGGTTAAAAAAGAAAAACGAAAACGTTTTTGAGAAACCATAGGTAATCCAGAAACCTGTGAAAAGCTGTATCACTGTAACTCTTAAACCGAAGGCAACTTATGTTTCTTTACCAGGCTAATTCTCAAAGTATTTTCCTACCTCAATACAACTGAAAGATACAACTCAGTTCTTAACTGGAGGCAGAATCTTGGAGCTTGGACTATATTTAGGGTTTGAAAAAATTCTCCAGATGATTGATACTTATCACCCCTACACCTCATTTGAGAAACAATGCTTTACAGAGAATATCTCCACTAAATCAACAGCTCTTAGTTTTGGGCAAGGATTGGCAGACATTTTCTATAAAGGGCCAGATAGTAAATATTTCAGGCCTGTGGCCATATAGTCTCTATTCCAACTACTACTCAACTGTGCCACTAGAGCAGAAAAATAGCCGCAGACAATACGTAAGAAAAAAACCCCACAACTGTGTTCCAACAAAATTTTATTTAACATAACCAAGAGGTGGGGCAGATTTGGCCTAAGGGCCATACTTTGCTGATCTCTGATCCTGAGGCCTACCTAAGCTTCTGCTTTAATCTTCAATGAAACCCTCCCCGCTTCTTATTACTAAAGTTATAGAGAAATAAAACATTTTAAAGGAAAGAGAGGTTTATCGCTCATTTAGATAGCATGGCTAGTAAGAACAAAAATTATCCAAAGCATCCATTAATACTGCCTTCATCATCTTCCTCCAGCCATTGCTGAGAGCTGAATGTGTGCAGCTGATGTTCAGAAACCTCCAAATTAGTGAAAAGTATATTCCCACTCCTAATGTGTAGGAGTATAATCATTTTACCATAAAAGTGTCCCTGGTCACCACTCTCCAACATCTAGTCTCAACATCTCAGACGCCAGCCACATACTTCTCTTACCCAACTGTGGGCCACCCTTAGCCTTCACCCACACTGCCAATGACCATCTGCCAAGGGTTCTACACTTTGACACACCATTTTATAGAGCCCCTGACTCCCATTCAAAACCACTGTGCAACAAATACTCATGGCAGAAAAGCCTCAGCACCACACAGAGGTTGCATCACTGGGATGCTTCAGACAGGTTCAGACATTGTGAATAAAAGCATCATTGGCTCCTAGACCAGAGTACTGAAAATATCCCTAACCCAGAAACCTAGAGTTTGAAATTGTGTATTCCGCAAATCGCCACTACAAATCGTAGTCCCCCAGAAGACATTAGATGGACAAGAACCCAGAACCTTCCCCACTGCTTTACCTGCAGTGTGCTGAGAGAATAAAGGTGAGGCTCGGAAGCGCCTGAACCCACAGTGGAAGATCAGCTCCTCTTTGGCTTTCACAGGTTCAGTGTTGCCAGAGTGCCGGCTCACCACCATATTCAGTACTGACATCTGGGGACCACATAAGAAAAAAAGACCTTCATATCTAAAATAGAGCAGCCTTAATTGAAAGAAGGTGAACCAAACTAGCAGGTTCAGATTCCCTTTAATACTTACTTATGGAGAAGTATAGCTGACAAAACGAGATTCACCTTTTATATTTACCAACAACTGGTATTCAAGTCAAACACAGGCTGGTTTTCAGAGCCTTTCACGTATCCTTCTATATAAGCTAAGCTTCCGGTGTCTAACATTGCAAAAGCTCAACATCTGCCACAAAATCAGTGCCTTCAAGTCATTCACTCAGCACATGCCTCAAAACCATACTCATTCAAGACCCTTCCCTCCTCGACTCGCAAACTGACCGAAGGCCAGAGCGCTCACATCCATGCCCACACACATGACTGCTGGCCACCAAGATAAAAAAAGAGATCTACGTCGTGGCATAACCCCCACCCCCTTTAAGGCTGCCAACCCTTGGTTAAAAATCTTATCTGATGAACATACTTAGAGAAGTCTCAGAACACAGAGATTGCATCACTGAGATGCTTCAGACAGGTTCAGACATGTTGGGTAACACCATCATTGACTTCTCTATCATATTCTTTTGATTCCTAATCCTAAAGCAGATTTTTCAGATCCCAATGAGGAAAATGTCAGCCACATAAAATTTTAGACTGTCATACAATACAAAACTGATTGGAAAGTTTCATAACTCTCCACTTCCCACAAGACACTAACTCACCTTCTGTTCATGAGGTAGTAAAGAAAATGCAATCAAGGGTGCTCCTCGCTTAAAGTACTCATACACTGAGACAGGGACTTTAGAGACATGAAGTGTGACATACCAGCCAACCTGCCAGAAGAAAACAGAAAATAATCATGCAGTTACCCTTGAGGTCTCAATAATGATGAAGCATTTCTCCAAATATGTTGAAAGTTATTTAGACTACTCTAAAGCCTACCCTCATCCTTCAAAACTGCCTTTCACAGATGCCTCAATACATAGATTAAACTTTTTCAGTTACCACCTGAAATCTCTTTGTTCTCAATATCACTCTTACCAGTGACTCACTGACTCCTTTAATTTAGCTATGGGCAGCACAAACCTAAGGTACTCATGCTAAGAGAAGGAGTAAAGGACAGGGCACCTTGGCAAACAGAAGCACATTATAAAGCTGGACAAAGGCAGGCAGATACCTCAGCTCCTTCAACATCTTTTTCCTCAATTTCTTTAAAAATGCGTTTCCTAATATTAGTAAAGTTCTGAAACTGAAAGATCCGAGCATAATCTTGAGGAAGGTTTTCCTTAGGATCCCATGGAGATGTCCGGAAGCTCTTGAGGCCTCTGTATTTCTGAAATCTAGATAGAGAAAATTTTAAAAAACCTTTACACTATCTCTCAAGATAACCTAAGAGCCTAAAACCACATTTCAAAACAGCTTCTTAACAGGGGCACGTGGGTGGCACAGTTAAGCGTCTGACTCTTGGTTTTGACTCTGGGTCAGAATCACAGGATCCTGGCATCGAGCCCCACATCAGACTGTGCATTCAGCATGGAGTCTGCTTGGGATTCTCTCTCTCCCTCTGCCCCTCCTGCTCATACTGTCCCTCTCTCTCTAAAATAAATAAAATCTTTAAACAAAACAAAAACAAAAAAACCCCAGCTTCTAAGGAATATTTTCAGAACCAAGCCCCAGTCCCTCACTGACAAAGTCCTTACAGTGGCTCCTTCAGGGAGCAGCTCTTTAATCTGGCAAACAAGGTCCTTGATAAAAGTCTTACCTCCCTAATATCCACCATAAACTCGCTGGCTTTAGTCACTCGCCGACAGAACAGACAATGATCATCTACTCTTCATGCGTTTATTCTTGCCCAAACTCCCCCGAATCTACAAATGTTTTATACTTTTAGTATTAGCTCCTATAGGAAGCATTCATCTTAGTATTTCTCTTTCATTAAAGTACTGTAACATTGTTAGTCTGTACCACACAGTCTAGAACTTGATTATATATTACTGTTTCCTGTATGTGCATCTTACTTTCCCATATAAAATGTTAGCCCTTCAGGAGCAAGGACAATGTATTTTCTTCTTTTGCATCACACTGACATAGTTCTGAGCCACATAAATTTGAAATAAAAACATACTGATTTTAGACTTGCTGACTAACCGAATTCTTGCAGCCACATCACGGGGGGTATCTACTTCATCTGGAAACATCTCTTGCAGTCTTTCTTGTTTATATTTCTCCAACATTTTTTCCTCAGCCTCATCATCCACATTCTCATCATCCAGATCATCATGCACAGACTCTCCCATAGTCATAGTTTCATATTCCTCCTCCTCTTCCTTTTCACTGCCCTCATCCTATAGAATAAAGATTATAGTTTCACACCTGTCTCTATCTTACAGGCCACTGAACTAGAAATAAAATAATTTTGGGGCGCCTGAGTGGCTCAGTCAGTTAAGCATCTGCCTTCGGCTCAGGCCATAATCCTGGAGTCCCCAGATCAAGCCCCGCGTTGGGCTCCCTGCTTCGCAGGGAGTCTGCTTCTCCCTCTTCCCCCTACCCCACTCGTGCTCTAATAAGTAAATAAAATCTTAAAAAAAAAAGAAATAAAATAATTTTACTAGACACCCAGTCCAAACCAACATCAATTCTAATACAGACTGAGACAAAGTCTCATTTCTGGCAGCTACAAGTCATTCCTAGGAAACTGGTCACACACACACACCTCCAGGATTACACTTTGCCTTGCATATGGGACTGTACACAGAAGTGGCCCAAGGGTCCATTTCTTTACCTGAGATTCCTCTTCAATAAAATCCCCATGTTCTATATCATCATATTCATCTTCCCCACCACTTTCACCATCCTCATCCAAAATCCATTCAGCTTGGTAATTGGATGTCCCTTTGGGAACCTTCTTTACCACCTTGGAACTTTTCTTCAAGAAGTCTGTAAAAGCCCAAACGAATTAAGCTAAATTATACACCTCCTTTCCGCTACTACTCTGGGTATTCTCACCTAGGCAAGATACTAGATATTGCTACCAACACCAGAAATTCTAACAGACACTATGAGTAGAAGGGACTACTTCCAAATTTAATTCAGCTGCCTTAGAAAAAAAAAGAGAAAGAACTAGCAATAATACACAGATAAATAACTTAGCAAGAAATCAAAGCTGTTTATCTGTTTGCTAGGAAACAATAACACAAGTAATTTTGAAAAATGGAGCAATGCTGTGTCCAGTGTTTGCTTGACACAAACATACAGCCTTTAGAGCTAAGAAGAGAAAAACTGACCTCCAAATAACATCCTCATCCCACTCTATCCTAACTGTGAGCGCTAGAGAAAATCCACAATTCCAGGCCAGACGAATTACAAACAAGTTTGCCAATACCAACCATTAGCCTCACTCAGCTCCTCCTCTGTGGGCCAGGTTTGTTCCCCTTCCATTGGATCTGGGATAACCTCTGTTTGCAAAGATTCTTGTTTATCAGGGTCTGCCTTCATTAGGACCTTAAGGTCTTCCTCCATATCAGCTACAGCATCTGGAGCACAAATCTGAAAACCAAAATAGTTGACAGCAGTCAAACGTTACCCAAAAATCTACCAAATCTAACACAGTAACCAGAGAGATCCAAAAATAACATAGTTCTCAAGTAAACGAATGAAATAGAATAAAATGGAAAGCCAAAACTTGTCAAATGTTTCAAACGTTCAATTTCCTAGCATTTTAAGACTATACCTCTGCTTGCTTTTGAGGCCTTTCATAATCTGGTCTCACTCCTATCTATTTATTACATATCTTACTCCCATCAAGCTGATTTCTTCAGAGTTCAAAGAAACCCTCTGATCTATCACTGTGCCTAAGTTCATGTTGTCTCTATCTTCTTTGATACTGTTTCATCTCTCTTCAACTCACAAATCATTCATCCCTCTCAACACCTGACTCAAGTCTGATTTCTATGAAGCTCCTAGTCTACTTTCTCAACTTCCATAGCAGGTCTATACCTTAACCACACTTTTTCAATCTTTATTTCACAGTTGTTTGCCATTTTTTCTGACCTAATTAAGTTGCCCAAGGAAAAAGACCACATCTTGTGTGTCTTCTTTTTATTTTTTTTTTTAAAGATTTTATTTATTTATTCATAAGAGACACAGAGAGAGAGAGAAAGGCAGAGGGAGAGGCAGGCTCCCCGCTGAGCAGGGAGCCAGATGCGGGACTCGATCCCAGGACCCTGAGATCACGACCTGAGCCGAAGGCAGACGCCTAACCATCTGAGCCACCCAGGCGCCCTCTTGTGTGTCTTCTATAAACCCAAAGCCAATTGCTGTGCAAGGCACCTATAAGTGCTGGATAAATATGTAATATGTCAACATGTTCACAGTTGACAACTACCCTACTTCAAACTGGCAGTCACCTCCAGAGACTAATATAGTTGTCTAAGAGTTCAGAGTACCTTCTCTGACATTAGTTCACATCCTACACCAGCTTACACATGAATCTACAATACACAGTCTTAAAAAAAAAAAAAAAACGCAATCTTTAAGAACATCAGTCTTACCTCCATTGCCATGCCTGGGTCCTTTTGGGATTTGATCACTCTGGGATTTAAAGGGAAAGGGTCCATAGGGGCATCTATCTGTTCCATCTGGAAATCACCCTGTCCAACGATATGCAGCAAGCTATTTACATTCAGAGTCTGCCCACGAACATAGCCTGAGATTTTCAAGGTGCCCACCAAGTTATTTTCTTCACTCGGCACAAAGTCAGCCGCATGAGCAAACAGGTAGGCCCGTCGATCTCGAAAGGCAAGATGCTGTTGCTTTTGGTTAGCCAACTGCCTGAGCAGCACCTCTGCCTCCTGTTGAGTGTCTAACAGGAAAAGTCTGTCATCAGGAAAACGCTTCTCTACTGCTTTACTTAGCTTCTTTCTGGCATCTATTTGTTTCCTTGGTGGGAGACCAGAAACACCCTGGACAGCTAGTGCTGTTAGCAAGAAAGAAAAGGCTTTGTTACCTGTTGTTTCACTACATGTAAATTCCCCCTGTAGTTCACAGACAAGCTAACAGTTCAGGTGTGAGTCCAGAGATCACTAAGAAACCCGACACTCAACTACCCTAAAAATTTTTATAGTGAAACTAAAGTTCATGTTCTTCTTCCTCTGGGGAAAGGGCATTCCAGAAATAAAAAGGGACCTTGATAGATAATTGCTAAGTGATGGACCAAATTTAGGCCATTCATGTACAACCCACCATCAGCCAAATACAATCCAGCTGTTATATTACTGTATCATGTCAGACATAATGCCTGACAAATTAGGGGTGCATAATAAATGCTAATTCATTTCCCTCCTTTGCCTCTAATACTCCCAACTCACTTACTATAGGTGGGAAGCCCCTGAGCAAAGAGGCAGGAAAGGCAGTAATCCCCAGTGCTGTCCCAGCCTTCTAGTGGGTCAAGGAGGAAAATGATGGTATCCGCGACTTTGGCCATGTCTAACACAGTGTGCAGATCCCCTAGACATACAAAACAAAGTTAGCGGGAAGCAGTATTTGCCATCAGCACATTATAGTATAAGAATATCACCACTACTCAAAACATAACAATAGGAAATACTGTTGTATGCTCTAACCTGGCCTTGCAGATGTGAAAAACCATCGATGTTTCAAGCGGGGGCATAACAGCATAAAGCTATGGGTACTTCCCCATTCGTTCACGTGTACTGTTCCGGTGTCCTTATCCTGAAGCAACCGAAAGGCCTCTGGCAGGGAAATCCTTTCATGCAGGGGCACCACCAGTACCTGATGAAGAGGACCATCCTTGCTGCCCAGCTGTCTCTTCTCTGCCAGAACCTAATAGAACGAATCGATGTTTCAGTACTTCGTTTCAGTATTGCCTTTCCCACAGTATGGATGCCCCTTCCTCACCCCCTACTCCCCATTCCCAGCCCACCGCATTTTTCTTGTAAAAGGAAGCATGTATGCCTGGAGAGTGGGCCGGAACTCGGACCAAGGCAAAGAATGCCGTAGCATGAGCCTAGATCTGCACGCCTGACGTGTGACATCCCCAACCCCTTCCCAGGGTCAAGTTTTTTAGTTCGAGGCATTATCCACCTAGAACAGTTGTGAAGCCACACCAATCCCCAATCCCTGCTCCTCTCACCGCCTCCTTCTTCTGCTTTCGGAGTTGGTTGGCGCGATGCCTCTGGTCTACTCTGCTGAGCTCTTTTCTCACCTTCTTGCTTAGGATTTTCAGTGCTAGACGACCTAGAGAAGATCAGTAAGGGATCTTGTGCAAGGTACCAGAGGGTCAAGAAAGGGGACCCTCTCGGCCCACCTTAGAGCCTCTGTGCGGGGTCCAGGCCGGAGGTAGGAGCTCAGTCTGGACATAAGGAAAGCAGTTAATATCGATTAAACAGCCCTTCTTCCTCCAACCCTATCTTCTCACCCTTGCCGTCCCGCTGCGCGGATCCCCGACCCCGATGGCGCCCGCCTTTATGAGCTTTATTCTGCTGCTTCAGCGGGCCAGAACGGTGAGCCGCCATGCCGCCGCTCACGTGTACCCAGTCAGCACTAGTTCCGGGCCGGACCTAGCGCTTCCGGGTCCCTCTGGGCTGCTCTCCCCGTGGCGGGGCGGGGCTCAGCGTTTCCCCTCGCGAGAGTTTTCCCAACCAGCCTCAGAGAGTGAGACGGTCGGGTCTCTGCAAAACCGCCGGGTAAACTTTTCCCACGCGGCGGTCTGCGGCTGGGGACCTTGAAAAATCGGATGTAGATTCGAGGTTTGGGCTCTAGGTCCTGAAGGGCTTTTTTGCTACCCGTATTTTCATTTTTTTGCGCTATCAAGTTGTATCACTTAGGAGGCTGTTGAAGTTTCTCCATTCGTGCGAAAGAGGGCTAAGCCCCACCTCTCATCTAGATTTGTGCACGTAGCTCCTCAGTTACCATCTTGAGCAACCCTTTCTTTCTTTTGTGGGGCTGGTCAAGTCTACAAGGCAAATTGCGTGGAAGGCACTTTTCTCACCTTCACGGGCTCCGTATAAGTTCCCGCTGATCTCATTTATTCCATCCCGGCGCCCCCACCTCTCACGTAGCTTCAGGAAGGGCGGGACAGGAGAGGGAGAGCTGGCCTTGACACTCGAGCCCTCAGGGGGATTTAGAGGAAGGAGGGAGCTTTGGCCTTTCAGCCAGGAGAATAACGCTGGCTTCCCCATAGCCATACTCGAGGTGCGAGGGACCCCGGCCCTTCCCGTCGGGAAAACGAGGGAGTAGAAATCAAGGAGCGTCTAGCTGGGTTGAGGCCAACTACGATGTGAGCAACTTTCCCTCAGCCGCGGGGTCCAGGGCGCGTCAACCACTCGGCACAGCGCTGCGCGGAACTGGCTGCCGGCGCTCACAATGCGGGTTCACGCCTTCGGGGCGGGAGCCTGCGCGTTGCCATGACAGCGGCACGCGAGGCGCGCACCCGGGGGCCCGCCACCCCCAGGAGCGCTCAGCCTCCCCCCGCCCCGACCCCCCCGCTCCGGGTTGCAGAGCGCACCCCCCGCCCCCGGCTGTGGGAAGGGGCCGGGCCAGCCGCCTGACGTCTGTGTGGGGCTCGGAAGATGGCTGCGGAGCCCAGCACCCGGCAGTGGCTGCG